GCATTTCAATAACATACACACAATATGCTCGATATGTGCAAATACAACATGGCATCACAACATGACTCTACAACTCAAGTATTTTATTCAATAGGCTCCGAGGAGCGAGATATTACAAACATGGGTCTCATGACCCAACATTCAGAGCACACAAGTCAAAACACAAGCGGAAGCTTAACATGTCTGAGTACAGACATCTAGAAATGAAAAATGCTGAGAAGCCTGACTATCTACCAGATCATGCCGAGGGCACAAGATCGTAGCTGAGGTAACAAGCTAAACGTCGAAGTCCACATGGAACTACTAGCGAGACTGAAGTCTCTCTACAAAAACATAAATTAAGCAACGTGAGTACAAATGTACCCAGCAAGACTTACATCAGAACTAACTACATATGCACCATTATCAACAAAGGGGTGGTGGGGTTTAACTGCAGCAAGCCAGCTTTGACTCAGTGGCTAACCTGAACTACGACTGCAAGTAACTCTTTTGAGGTGGCGCACACGAGTCCACATATTCACCATATCAATACACCACTATGGATCCGCTCTCGTCTCGCTACGAGAACGCCATCCATAGCACTCACGCTTATCTTGCGTATTTTCGAGTATCCACTTTCACTTGTCTATGAACTGTACAGGCAACCCAGAAGTCCTTTACCGCGGACAAGGCTATTCGAATAGATCATATTAACCCTGCAGGGGTGTACTTCTTCACACACGCTCTCGCCACTTACCGCCGTTTACACGGCATGTACTCGGCAACCTTCAAGCGGAAGCCCAGCGAGGGTGTCAGCCATGACCTGACTAACCACACAAGTCTCTCGTCCAGGTTTATCGCCTATTCGGGTTCCATCCGCAAGGAGATCCGGCCGGGGTGTCGCTCACGGCCCCAAACGATGTGTGCAGGGTTCCCAAGCCCACCTCAACGGGTGTATCAACGCTTGGTACACCGTGCCATGGTGCCTAGTCTGTCCCAAGCTCACGTTTACCGGGTGCCACTTGGTAGACTACTAACACTACCTACAAACACCAGAAACTAGTTGCAACTCCTGGACAGAGATCGAGTTGATTAATAAGTCGAGAGAGTCAATTAAGGATCCCAATGTGTGGTAGTAGCTGTTCATGGATCACAAACACAGGACTCAGTTCCTAAGGACGGTTTCAATGAGACAACCCACCATGTACTCCTACATGGCCTCTCACCGCTACCTTTACCAAATCGTGTTCACACACTTAGCTCACACACCTCCAATTCATCCCCGATGAATCAGATCTTACTCGACTCTAAGCAGTAGCAGGCATGACAAACAAGCATGAATGAGTAGGCACATCAGGGATCAAACAGCTCCTACTCATGCTAGTGGGTTTCATCTATTTACTGTGGCAATGACAGGTCATGCAGAGGAAAGGGGTTCAACTACCGCAGCATGTAACAGTTGAATCGTTGTTGTCCTAATGCAATAAAAGAGAGCAGGAGCGAGAGAGTGGGATTGTATCGGAGTGAACAAGGGGTTTTTGCTTACCTGGCACTTCTGAAGATAGTATAGCTCTTCATCGGTGTCATCGAACTCACCGTCGGTACAACGTCTACTGGGGGGGACAAACACCGGCAATAGAGAAAGAACACAATCAATGCAATGCAACAATATGATGCATGAGTGTGACATGGCAATATGTTGTGATTTGAGCTAATGCAACTAGCAACAGGTTAAATGGAGTTGGTTTGAACCCTAGGTTCAAATTCAAACTCCATATGTGAAGGTTTAAATGTCATTTATATGATTTGGCCTAAACAGCAGATATAAGTTGTTCTAACATGCATGAAACCGGTACAGATGGATAGATTGGATTTTTCTGATCATTTTTCATATATAACTTATTTGATTTGGAGCTACGGTTGAATTTCTATGAATTTTGGAAGTTTAAGCTATTTTCTGGAATTTCCTAGATTATTTTTATTCCAGAAAATGATTAATTGCGTCAGCATTGCGTCAGGGTGACGTCAGCAGAGTCAACAGGGCTGGTCCAGGTCAAACCTGACATGTGGGACCCATTGGTCAGTGTCACAATGCTGGCTTGGGTCACTGACGGGTGGGGTCGGTCAAGGGCCACGTCAGTGGGGTCAACGCTGACGCGTGGGGCCACTGTGATTAGTTAAAACTGAACAAGAACTAACATTGGTTAATTAAGGGTGTGGGACCCATCTGTAAGTGAGAGAGGACTGGTTTATTAGCATGTGATTATCCCTAACTACGTGGCCACATCGGCAGTCGCCGGAGTTCAGCCGGCGGCGACCAAGAGCGCGGCGGATGTTCACCGGAGTGGCTCTGGTTTCACCTACAGGAGACCGTTTGGGCCGCGGGAGGTACCGTTGGAAAGCTGGCACTCGGCCGCATCCAACAAAGGTGGAGGGAGGCCCTAGGGTTGCCGGAGTTGGGCTCGGCAATGAGGTCAAGCGGCGGCCGGAGCTTGGGTGGGTGCGGGGTTGGCGCTGCGGCTCGCAAACGAGCTGGTTGTCGCGCTAGCGTTGCTCTACGGAGCGTTGCGAGTGGAACGGACGCACGTGCGGGACCATTTGGTCATCGGGGCTTCACCGGCGACGAGCCCGTGCGGCGGCGGCTACGGCGAGCAAAGGGGCGACGTCTATGGAGAGTAGAGGAAGCGAGGAAGAGGGGGTCGATGAAGGGGCTCATGGTGGACACGCAGAGCAGATCAGCGGGCTCGGGGAGGTGTCGGAGACGGCGAATAGACCGGCGAAGTCCAGCGAGTAGATGCGGTGATGACAAGCTCGAAGACGATGGCGTGGTGATCCTCGGCTTGCGTGGCTCGGCGAAGAGGAAGAGGAAGTCGCGGCGGACCTTCCAGACACGGGGGAGGGGCGAGGAGGTGGATGTGGCCGCGGTGAACGGTGCTGGCGGCTCCGTTCGGTGGTGAGAGAGAGGGGTCCAGGGGAGAGGATGAGGGCGAGGGAGAGCGAGAGAGAGTGAGGGGAAAGTGAGAGGGGGGCCTCGGGCATCTCCAGACGCGGATTAGGACGGAGGAGCGGCCTCTAGCGCGAAGCAGGAGGTGGCCGGCATCAACGCGCGTGCGTCCAGCACGCAACTGCTTCGGGGCGAGGGGGAGGAAGACGACAGAGGAGGCTGGTGGTGGGCTGGGCCGCAGGTGGGCCAGCACAGGAGCTGGGCCGGTTGGTGGCGTCAGGTAAGTCCTCTCTCTCTCTTCTAATTGTTTTTGTTTTTCTATTATTCTGTAGTCTTTAGGGCTTTATTAAAAATACTTAGACAGTTCCAAAAATCGTGCAACTACTCATGATCACTGTTGGGAATATATCCTACAGTAAACATTTTAGTTTATGACTATTTGGACATTTAAAATATTTAATAGCATTTAAATGTTCAAATGCAAATAACATATGATTTAATCCAGTGACCCAAGTTGTTCTAAAAAAGTGTGCACCATTTTTGTCAGAGGTTTTAGACCAAGGCAAAGATGATGAACATTTTTGAAGGGCACTTCAGGTTCATTGAAAAAGTATTTTAGTAACCCTAGTTGGATTAAGTGGTGCTGGGGGTTCTGTCATCTCCATTTCAACTTTCTGTGAAAAGTAAACATGATGCAACACCATATGCTAGCACTAGGTATGGCAGAACTAGGGATGTGACACCAGCTCATATTCTGGCTAGTCTTGGTTCACGGGATATGGTCGAGAGCCAACATGTCTAGCTAATTGGCCTACCTTCGGATGTAATGGGTGTTGTGGCTGCCAGTGCCAATGTTGGAGCAGGCACTAGCTAATGGAATGCATGGTGTTTCAGATAAAGAAAAGCAATAACTAGTCTATGAAGGCTTTTTACTGCAATAATCCTACACCTAGGAAAGTTGATACCTGCGTAACAAACTCTGTGCACGCCACCTAGGCACAATGCTAGTATCACCCAATGGTGCAACGGCACTGCAGCCCTGCCGAGGATAGCCAGAGCACAGCGAGGGGGGGCACGAGAGACGTGGCAGTCTATGCGAACAGGGCCGAAGCTAAGGACGTGCTGCCAGCAGATTGGGTTTCGTCTCGATGCTTGAACAGCCTGTGGTATGCAAATAAGCTACTATTCCAGACAGGGTAAATAAAGAACACAAAAGAAATTGGACAAGCCTTCCAGCCTTGTTCACATATGACATTACACACAAACGTCATTAAGTCGAGTGTTTAACTTGGTAACAGGTTCAAATACTCGAAAGCTCCACTGAGTTCAATCTACTGATAAATGAAAACAGGTGATATAATAGGCAGGGACATCTTCACTCTTCATCTGAATCAGAGGCAATTTCTTCATCTGACTGTAAGATAGCAGTAATGAAAGAACAGTGTCAAAAACACAAAAATTTGAATACAAGATGAGTTCACGGCCATGTCGCATACAGATACAGGCAGTGCCTCCAAAAGACAACAGAGCTAGAGAACTGCAGACGGCTGACATTCAAAAAGGTGGCTGGTGGCGAAATATATAGTGACAATATAGATAGTACAATGGACCGTGATTGCACAGTAGTTCAATTTTCAAAATCACATCAGCAACACTACTTTTCTCAGCAGTCAACGAGTATATGGAGTCATCTAAACAAAAACATGCAAAGGCACAACTAATCTTGTACATGGCACAACTAAAAGAGCAAAGGAAAACAGATAGCAGACCAGTTTCAAACACCAATAATGGACACCAAACAGATTTAGTGACCTCAGAACAATCAAGTTTCAGGGTGGATACAAACCCAAGCAAACTACTGAGCAGTTCAGAGGCAAGTGCCGTATTCTTCTCACAAGCAGGTCGCCACAAAACAGGCTCGGAACTTAAAAAACAGTTTGGTAACACTACCAACATCCAGGAGCTTTCAGGATTCTTCCTCTAAACATCTAAAAATTCACGTGGGAATGGGACAAAAAACTTGACAGACACACAACTACTAACACATTGAAGGAGATTGGGACTCGAACCTGGAGATTTATTTGATATTCCCATCGATAACTAAGATGTTTGCGGCGCAGATGTTCAGCATTTTCAATGAACTTCAGAACATGATAAACACAAAAGAAATAATTAGTCCAGTGGTTCAAAATCAAGTTGCCACAAAATGGTTATTTACCACACAATTATGAAATTACCTCAAAATGGTCTCTTATCCTTTCCTCCTCTTTTTTTAGCATTTCTTCATACTGAGCTTCCTGCAACCGAGGATAAGACACATAGTTAACATTGGCGCAGCACATTGAAGATATTAAAACGCTAGCCAGTACATAAATCACCATACACTGTGACGGGAGTCGACCCACTGCTTCTCATTACAGGGACCAAAACCAAGTGGGAAACCGATGTTCATGTGGCCGCCTTTGAATGAAGCAGCACGCGGGTGCTTCATACCATCACTTTCATTGTTTATACAGCCATTGCAGGTAGCTCCACGATCTAAAGACAGGTATGGAATTTGTCATTTAAGTGTCAGATGACTAGTCTGGCTCAGATACAACGAGAATAGCTGAATAAGTGCCAAAAATGCATGATTGCAGCACCTACAAATGGCTGTGCGTGAACCAGTTGGATTGTGATATTACAGACATAAAGCTATGTATGGTATAAGATGGCACAATGGGCAGGCAAACAGGTCAACAGTAAGGGCTCCACAATAAACCAGAAACACATTTGCAATTTTATACATATATAAGCTAACTTCAAACACTGTACCAAAATGTTTAATTTGAGATACGAGTGTAAATTATCCTTGCCGTCAGCGTTAACACCACAGAAAATGCAGAGAAAACATCCTAGTGTATCGTTCTGATCTATATCTAACAGATAAATTCAACCAGTATTGCAAAAATGCATAATTTGAGATAAGAGTGTAAACTACCCTGGCCGTCAGTGTCGACCCTGGAGAAAGTGTTGATATAATATCCTGTGATATCATTCGAATCACATGCGACTTCAACGAAGAATAGACTGGTGCTGCCCGCATCATCGGCAGCTCCTTTGGTCTTCACAGTGATATTGAGATGATAGTACCATTCGACACCTTTGCAGATTGATTGCCAATGAACAATTTCTTCGAGTTCATCCACACGATCCTAGAATAAGCATTGATTGGATCAGTAATGTTGCATGCACAAAGCAGTAACAATAAAATACAACACAAGCCTGGTAGTGGGACAGAGTGAAGGCGAGCAGAGAATGAACCTCAGCGTCATTCCGCTTGTCCAGTAAAGCTTCAACCAGTCTCCGAACTTTGTCACGTTCCCTCTTCACTACTTGAGCCCTTGTGTAGACCTTCGGGGTGCCATCTGGAAAGTAAAGACGTTCACGTACAGCACGTTCCTTCTCTGAAAGCATCTTATCAGACCTAATTTCAGATCAGAGCCTATGATTAATAGATGTTCGTTCGTTGTTCAGAGAAGGTAAACGATTTTCTTTTGAGAGAGATCAGAACATTACATGACATTGCTATTGGGATTAGCATAGGAATCAACAGCACTTGCAACTTCTTCAAGGCTCTGCAACGGCTTATCACCCAGAGTAGGATATGTGTAAAAAACTCCTGAACTATCCATTCTGACATAAACTGGTGTAGGCAAACCGCGATCTCTCCAGGCCAAAACATGGTCTGTGTCATAAATCTCTGAACCCCTGCAGTGGGTAGGTTCGGTCAATGAGTAGAAGAACGATGACACGCTATGCTAGAAGATATAAACACATGGGATTTCAACCAGATGGAGAAACAGAAAACGAAAGAGCAAAAGCTTTTTTTTCATACTCATCGGACTCCGAAGCGTCAGACAGATCGGAAGATGACTTTTGCTCACCAGGCAAATCCCTGAAACTGAGAAACAAGCTAGATGAGTGCATAAGAACTATTTGTGTATATCTCAGGAGATTGAACATGGTGACACGGCCAAGTTGAACGGCGATTTGCAATCCAGGGAGGCGTAAAGCCAACTGAAATGCACTTCTATATCTACGTTTAGATTGTACTCGTATAAGTAAGAACAGGCCACCAAACGAGAGGTAGGGCATACACAAGTGCAGATAATCTGCCTCCGACCTGATCCACCGGCTGACACCTGAAGCGAAACAAGCAAGCCTGATGAGTGGTATAACAATTTTTAAAACCTTGGGAGACGAATAACCAAAGATATTTCATGGCGTGATGTGGACTGAAACCCACGTATTTTCTTTCATGGCGACTAACTTGACCGGCGGGGAGGAAGATGATTCGCCGACCGGCGTGGAGGAAGAAGGCGAGGTGGCCATAGGACTGACCGGCGGGGAGGAAGACGATTCGCCGAGCGGCGTGCAGGAAGAAGACGAGGTGGTCATGGGACTGACCGGCGGGGAGGAATACGGTGATTTAGGGTTGCTTTCTCGTGGTGGTGGGTGGGTGGGGAGGCAACGCCCGCTCGGCGAAACTAATACAAACCTGCCCGAATGAGCCGGCCCGGCCTGGCCTGGGTTAAACGAGGGATGCATAGAGAAGGAAAGAAATCGTTTTTTAGACAAACCGGCTTAATTAGCTGGGTTGTTAACCGGCGCTACTATACCTTCACCGCGTCAACAACCAAATCAATGCCGGTAATAACGGTTCAAAAATCAATGCCGGTAATAAACGTTGCATGCTGAATTCTCCGTATTTACAGCCGCGAATTAACATGACAGCGATCAATGCAAACGCCGTCTCCCTCTCTATAAATAGCGACAACTAGTAATGACACCACGGCACAGTAACATCACAGCGTCCGTCCATTCCCATCGCCGCACGTGGCTAGTCGATCAACAGACACCAGACCACCATGGCCAGGGCCAGCGGCTGGCTCTTCTCCCTCTTCATGTGCCTCGTCCTTGCAGTCGCCTCGTCCGTCACTGTTGTCTATCCACAGCCGTGGCCTGTCCCAGCTCCAAAACAGAAAGCCGACTGCTACAAATCTGTGACGGAGACGCCGCGAAAGTGCGCGGCGCAGGTCCTCCAGGCTCTCCTCTACGGCGACGTGCACATCACCAAGGACTGCTGCGAGGCGCTCCGCAGAGTCGGCGAAGAAACCTGCAGCATCTGCCACATGTGCAGATCCATCGGCTAGCTACTTCTCAAGATTCGGTTCAGCTTCACCGCAAGATAACTCTGGGTGTGCGTGTATACATTGGGCGTGTGCACATGCACCTATTAGTCTTTCCATCTTGAGCTCACGGAAAAACAAAAATCTTTTATGATTCCTATATATACTAGCAAAATGGCCCGTGCGTTGCAACGGAAGAAAAAAGATGAACAAAAAAAACAAAAGAAAAGAAAATGATAGTGTGACAATATGACTTAGTTTATACATAAGGTATATTATATATTCATTCATTAAAACTAAAACATAATTGTTTCTACCAATTCTTGTTAAACACAAGCACGATTACAAAAATATTTTCTTTCACAATGCATACAATGTGTATACCACTGTGTGCTTCCCATTATTTGCAATCATGAATTATATTAAGATTATATGCATAAAAGCACTTAACTAAAAGCTTGAACTCTAAAGCTTGTCACTACCTCACATTAAATAAAGTTGATACTTTCAGTGAACCCTTTCTTTGGCACTCAGGGTAAGTGCAAGGTGTGCCTTTCTCTAACTCCTGTTGCAGAAAAATTCGAAATCAGTGAACCCTTAGACGACAATTATTTGATCAATGAATGGATTTTTTTTAAACTATGATGATTTTTATAGCAAATTCGAAAACTATACACCCTAATGCAGAAAAATCAAAAGTAACACCCTGTCGGCCTCCTGTTGGCCGAAGAGGGACTTTTCGGCCTACCGTTGGCCGAAGAGGGACTTTTCGGCCAACCGTTGGCCAAAGAGGGACTCTTCGGCCAACACCTGCTCTACTGTTTTAGAAAATTCATATCAATTAGGATTTTTAGTATTTTAATTTGATTCTTTTTGCATTAGATTAGAAATTTTATGAAGCTTTTGTAGATATCATGTTTGACTAGATTTGAAAGCTTAAATTTGAATTTTCATGAATTTGCTCAAATCACTAGATTGCCTATAATTTAAACTAGGAGTATTCTTTTTAGATGATTCTTTTTGCTACATGTTCTTTGTGACTTTATATATCAGTGCTAATTAATTGGTGAATTTTAGGATTATTTAAAATTAGGTTTTTACAAAAACAATTTTTTTAGTGTTTTATAGGTTTTGTGCTATTTCTTTTAATTTTAATTTTAATTGTTTTCTTTATTTATTTTTGACATATTCTTTTAGTGTCTGTTAAGTTATGAGTAGATATTTTATTTGTAGTAGTTTTTTGTATTTTATTTCTTTTATCCTCCATTTACTTTCCCGCCATTGTTTCCCTCCATTTTCTTCCGCAATTTTCTTTGCCGCCATTTTCTCCCGCCATTCTTTGCCGCCATTTTCTCCTGCCATTTTCTTTCCCGCCATTTTATTTGCCGCCATTCTCTCCCTCCATTTTCTCCCGCCATTTTATTTCTCTCCATTTTCTTTTCCGCCATTTTCTTTCCCACCATTCTATCCCGCCATCTTCTTTCCTGCCATCTTCTTTCTCGCCATCTTCACTTCTCAACTTATAAAATGATCTTCATGGTGTGGACGACCGTAGATAATATCGTCTGACACGATCTGTGTCTCATGTGTCGGTGCTGCTGGTGGAGTGTGAAACACTATCTGAGAGAAGTCATAAGTGTTTGCAGCTTCGTCATCATCATTGGAGAGTGTTTCACACTTATGACTTCTCTCACACAGTGTTTCACACTCCACATGAAGGCATCATCGTCATCCTCCGTCGATGCAACACTCCTTAGTGTGGCAGGAGAGAATGGCGGGAGAAAATGGCGGCAAAGGAAATGGCGGGAAAGAAAATGGCGGCAAAGGAAATGGAGGGAAAAAGATTGTGGGAAAGTATTTTTTCCATGTATAAAATAGCAATGGTTGTACAGGATTTATAAGGCACTTTTAAATATAAACTCCTATGAAGCTCTAAACAAGTTTTCTAGTATGATAAAAGAAATAAAATACAAAAAAATACTACAAATAAAATATCTACTAATAACTTAACAGAAACTAAAAGAATATGTCAAAAAATAAGGAAAACAATTTAAAGCAATTAAAATTAAAAGAAATAGCACAAAATCTATAAAACACTAAAACAGAACTGTTTTCGTAAAAACCTAATTTTAAGTAATCCTAAAATTCACCAATGAATTACTACTGATAAACAAAGTCACAAAGAACCAGTACCAAATAGAATCATCTAAAAAGAATACTCCTAGCTCAAATTATAGGCAATCTAGTGATTTGAGCAAATTCATGAAAATTCAAATTCAAACTTTCAAATCTAGTCAAACTTGATATCTACAGAAACTTCATAAAATTTCTAATCTAATGCAAAAAGAATCAAATTAAAATACTAAAAATTCTAATTGATATGAATTTTCTAAAATAGTAGAGCAGGTGTTGGCCGAAAAGTCCTTTTTGGCCAACGGTTGGCCGAAAAGTCCCCCTTCGGCCAACAGGAGCCCAACGTGGTGATACTTTTGATTTTTCTGCCTTAGGGTGTATAGTTTCTAAATTTTCTATAAAAATCATCATAGTTTCAAAAAAATCCAATGAATGCTACAGCCAGTTCAGACCAAGAATTTACTCGAAATAAATCTCTCAAATTGTTGACCGGGATAAAAATGGCACAAAACAACCAAAAGAATATATTTGGAGAAACTTACTAGGTTCCCATGTTAATATGAGCCAACAAAAATAGCATGTTACAAATATGTAGAACTGGAATCACTTATGTTTCACTCATGAGGCAAACATGCAGGTCAACACAGACACCTATAGAAAATCCCCACAAATGTTTGTCGTGTGTGCATATTTTAAATCCATGCCCTTGTTTTTTTTTGACCTTGAAGACTGCAGGGCTAATCCATGCCCTTGTTGCTTGGTGACTAAATAATTACCTAGAACAAATCTTGGTTTTGTATGGAAATTCAGTGACTGGAGTTGAACAAACAACCTACTCCCTCTGTCTCATAATGTAAGACGTTTTTTTCAAGCTAATATAGCTTGCAAAAACATCTTACATTGTGAGGCTGAGGGAGTAGCATTGAAAGCTATCAACAGGTCAACCTACCACAAATCTTGTTTCCGGAATTGAACAGACAACATACCATTGAAAGCTATCAAGGTATCACACCATTCAAAATATCATGGTATATCCGAGTTACAACTTTTGGTATTTGATCTGATTGTCATAACTTTCAGCTTCATCACGGTGCATACAAAAAACAAAAACTGATTCAGGCCTATCACAACAATAGAAAAAAATTGCTTGATAGAAAAGGATAAATGGCATAACCAACAGGCACACCTCAAATTACCCAGCATAAATCAAATGTCAAACCTCCTCGGCTAGTTTCAGTGGCTCCTAATGCTTGTTCCAAATAATACATAGTTATAATTCCAAATAATATATAGTTATAATCTAAATTTTGCTGCATTTATTTTTGATTTCAAGTGTCTTTTATCAATATAGATTTAAAATTAATGTTAAAGTTGTTTAAAAATCCATAATATTTTTTATAAAATAATTTCTCCACCATATAAACTCTAAAATAAATATTTTGAACTTTCACATTGAAAGATTAAACTAAATCATTAAGTATATGCAAGTCACCTTAAATTCAATGAGAATATAGTTTTCAAAGTCAAGTAATTCTAATATTTTTAGAACAATAATAGCTTAATTTTGAGTTAAAATAAGTAGGATAATTTTTTTAGTATTTAAGAGAATTCTTGTACTGCTGGCTGCTGCTGATTTACTTTGTGGTGACTGATGGGACCGAAGTACTTATCTGTAGTTAATCTATATTAGCACACGCACGCGCGCGCATACACACATGTACTTGGGTGCTTCCTCGTGGCACCACACCTGGCCGAGGTAGAGTTAGACCACGCTGAGGTAGACCATCGTCGCTGTCGAAGATAGTCGGCAATCAAAGTGGCATAATTACATATGCCTGAAAGCAAGACATCCGTTGTAGAGTTGCCATCGAGATACAAAGGGCCTCACCTTTATTGTCCAAAATCGTTGAGATGGAGAAGTTGTAGTACCAAGCGCCTAGCAACTGCATGTAGAAAGGGATAATCAGCATCAAAGCAGGGAAGAAATTGAAAAGGAGAAGGATCATGTTACTTGCATCCAATTTACTGTATGTGTGTATCCCATTCTTTGCGCATCCGACGACAACACGTGGAGCCCGTGGAAACACATAGCAGGATCGGCCCAAAAGTATGATGCAACCCAGTCCAACGGAAGGGAGAGGGAAAGTGGCGCACCAGCTCTGAAAAACCCTCCTTTCTTGAGTTCCCCTACACTCATGGTCGTTGTTCGCTCACCAAAGGAGGACTCGACATGGACTCTCCGTTTCCATTCACGCGTCCCGCACGCCCGTCCCCACGGTCGTGGTCAGCTATACCACACCATCGAGATCGCTCTCAACCAGTGTTGGTTTCATCCTTTGCGATGCCACTGCCCTAGCGATAGGGTGCAAGTACTTCGCCAAGAGAAAATTAATAGAGAATTGACTCAAAGAAAACAAGCCTTACCAATTGGTAGAATCAATGAAAAGAATGATGATTTGAAACATGAATTGCTTCGCTTGAAAAAGCTGAATCAAGTAGTATATATTCTAAGTCCATCAAGTCCAAAGAGGCAAGCATTATTGAGAAAGGGCATGGCAAGTATAGCAAAACGACTGTGCTTGATTTTGCTGAAGTTAATGGAACCTACTTCCTGCCCTATGAGTTTCGTGCCACAGAAATTGACAAGCCTCAAGGACAAGAACAAGTAGCCGAACAAAGTTTGGTTGACAAAGATCTTCAAAGTAAAGATACACGAAATCAAGAAAAAGGCGATGAAAAGGTGTTGGAGCCATCCAAAAATGGAGCACGATACTGTTCAAGTCACACCACCATCATGCTCTCCCAACCTAATTGAAGAGGTATGTTTAACAACTAATTTACCTATATTCCGATTGGTCATAACTTTGTTGTTGATGCATCTATTAGAAAAATCTTCTTAAGCAATATTGAGAGACCAATGAAGAATGGAAATTTATTTATTAGCAATCTGATTGTCACAAAGCATATCGGTCAACATATTGCACCATTCAGAAAGGCCGATATTGAAAAAATATTACAATCAAAGCTTTTCCTGTTGTCTTCAGAGTTTATATCTACATGGATAGCTTTGCTTGTTTCATACCTAGCTTACATTTGGTCTCAATTGTGGCATATATATTCTAACTATTTTTGTTTCAGAAACTTAAAGCCAAGGTTAGATTCTTTTGAGAAAACTGATGCTAGTATAATATCTTATCCAATGACATCATAAAAATAATGCAAAAGAAAAATCATAGCCGAATGGGGAGATGTCAAATCTGAACCATTTGTTTGCTCAATTCCAAAGTTGTTCTCACAACAAGGTCGGCTAGAAAATGAAAATTATACCTTCAATTCAAATATGTGTGATCAAATCTTTGATTTGTTGTTGAGAAATAGTTATATTAGAATTCTTGATCATCATGGTGAGCCATCTATCCATGGACACATGTATTGTAAGTTGCATGATTCGTTCGAGCATAGTTTTGAGGATTGCAACATGTTTTGTCAAATAGTTAAATCGGCATTGAAAAAGGACGATTGAAATTTGTTGAAACACCAAGAGATGACCAGTCTAGTCAGATTGGTCCTGATGGCAAACAATTTTTGCATTGACTGCTTCAAGCCAATGCATTTAAACGTGAGAAGGTAAAAACTGCGGATAATGGGATCAAGTTTCAAGTAAGGAAGTTGTTCAAGGGCACAATGATAATATTCTTGAGGGCGAAAATTCCATCAAAGTTGCAATGAAGATGCCAAGTACTGGGGGGCAATAAGAAAATCCAAAGATAGATGCAAGCAAAGGCTGAGGAAAGCACTAAAAACCGAAAGTCACTTTCGCGCAACTATTGGAAAAATATCAGAAGATAAGTGAGGAGAAGATTGCTTATCGGCCAAGTAATTCAAAAGCATCAAGATCATCCCCTAGGCACAAAATTGAGGATCGATATTGGCAAAATGAGAATTCCAATGCAACGTATTCATATCCTTATTTTGGGTCGTCAATGACAATGTCGTGGATACCTCGCTATGCTCATGTAAATCCATATCCATCATTTGACAGGTATGATACAGTGGCACATTCTCCATCTTATTTTAGACCATCTCACCAACATTATGCAGCTCCAAGAAGATCAACATTTGAACAATCATGCATCAAAGACCATTTCAATAATAAGGAATCAGTCCAGAGCTCAAGGAAGAAGAGAGAGGTGGTCAAGCAAGTTTATCGCGTGAAAAGAGATGGTCGTAAGAGTGCTACTTCAGATTTGATCCCAAATAAAAAAGAGCCAATTAAAGTGTTGACATTGGCTGCTAAAGACAATAAGATGAGTCAATCAAGTGCCAAATCTGAAGAAAAGAAGCTCAAAGTGCACAAGGTAAAACAAGAATTTTCATTACTTCAAACAAAATCACAGTCAGGGTGCCCACTCGGCTTATCATATTGGCAAAAGAAGAAGTTGCAAAAGCTTAGTGCAAAAGAGCTGGAAAAAAAGATGGCATGAGTTCCCAAAGGAGGCACTCAAAACAAAAATGATATCCAAGCTTCTATTGCAAGAAGTGCATCAAATGTGAAAAAAGAGAAGACTGAATGCTATGAACAACCAAGACGAAGGTTTCAACATCTTCCATCCACACATTATCCACATTCCCCAACTACGCCATTTATGTTGATGCCATGGAATTCATCTTCACGTATGATTGGTTGCCCTCCATGGGTTTATTTTGATCCGTGGATGCAATATAATTTCCTACATCATGCAAGGGTATTACCACATCGTTATACATTCCATTAGCTACACTTTTGTTGCTAATCTAAGTGGCCGGTACACAATTATCGCCCTAAGAGTAAAGATGGCCGATATATACTTATCGTCTAAAAACATGCAAATGACCGATGGAGTGTTCGTGCTTAGAACAAAATCTATGCAAATTATTTTTCGGCACACAAGTTTTGCCGAAAAATAGGGGGTATGTGTTGACACCAGATTTTGGCAAGAGTTTAATTAACATGTCCTCAAATGGAGAAGTGACCTACATGAAAAAACTTCATATTGTCGATATGAACATCTTTGGAGTTTGGGCCATCGCCATCCGATCTCATCTCGAGGGCTGAAGTTATGTTCGAAGTAGTAGGATTTTGTATGAAGAGTACTGTTCGGCCGATTAGGCCTCCAAGACAGCCTCATATGAGAAAAGTTTATACACGCATTGTTTTCGTCTCATCGAAACGATCAATTTTGATATAAAAACCATAGCCGTCGTGCTCCCTTACGAGGTCCCTCCCGGGTGTGTGAGGTTTCGGGTCCTCAAAATGGAGGTTTCGGGTCCTCAAAATCGCCCGCCAAATTGCTTGCGAACCTCGCTTTCGGACGGGTCTCCTTCGCGTGAGTTGTGGTGCATCACCCTCGGTGTTAGAAGTACACAGTGACGTGTTCGTGTGCGAACAACGCATCCACTCAAAGTACGCAAGCACACCAACACTGCTGAAAATAAATACTATGAAATATGAAATGAAAAAGAAAGAACGCCTGAGATCTAAACGTAACTGCTGAAAGTATACAGCCCCTCCTTCCCTTCACTTATAATTCACTACTGCTGTAGTTTGCATTCAAACAAACGATATGAGCATAGCAAGGAACCGTATGTAGGAGTGTATATATATACAGTAGCAAGGAAAATTTATTCTATGCGGCTACATAGTTCACCGCGCAAGTTAGCATTTACGAGTCGGCAATTCAAACTTCAAAAGAAACCATGAAATGCGCATTCAAGAAAACCCCCAAAGTGTTTCCTCTAAAGAAAAACTTCAAACTGGATGTGTTGGCTGCTGTGCCTTTCTTCCGAATCATTTCCGCTTAGCACTCTCTTCCGCTCTAGTAAAAGCATCAGTGAGCACATCAACAGCCCAATCCTTGGCATCCTCCTGCAAGGCAGAGATGTCGAGACAAGTCTTAGCATCAAGCTCTCAAGCGAAAGGCAGCAGGTCAAACCTTCAAAATGTATGCAGGTTGTAACTCTACTGAGTTAGGTAAGGACGTGGGTAAAATCAACACATTAGGAAAGAGGTGAAAAGAGATGCGGGTAAGGGAGAACAAGACAAAATTGATCCGACACACGCACACCCACAAATATATCGAAAAGCAATAAAATATATATATATACCTTGTTTTTAAACTAATAAAGGCATGTTTGAGTGACTAATGCCTTCAAAATTACTTACTACACTGATTAATCAAAATATATATACCAAAAACTGCAAGCTTGTTTCCTCAAGATGTATTTTGGCTACAGGTTCTATTATACTCTACAGTAAATGTCTACCACAATCACTCAAATCATACAGAATATAGAAGGTGTACCAAGTGCTCAAAGCTTCCACACAAGGTGAGGCCTGGGGAAGGGAATTTCTAGACAGCCTTACCCTTGCACAATAATTCTGCAAGGAGGTTGGCAGAATTTAACCAAATAACTGAAGAGGACACAGGTTAAATCAAATCTAGCACCATAAATGCACAGGTGACCCTGCTAGTTATATATAGCAGCAAGTTGTTGAAACATGGAACAGTAGTATCTACTAGTATGGATCAGCAATTTGTTTTCATCATGGAAGCAAGACTGGATCCAGTAAACTCACTCCAAAGTGATATAACCATCAATTATCGTCGAATTAGCGTATGAAAATGCATCTATGAGATTATAACAACAAAGTTCTGTCAGCTACTTACCAGCCGCACTCTTTCCCCAGTTCTTAAGCGGGCATGTGGACGAGCTAACTTTGATTCAAAAGGGGTCCTTGGCCTGACTTCTTGGATTTCATCCCACTCTTCACGTGAAAGCATCCTTACTGTTCCTTGCTCAGGGTGACTATTCTTTATCTTGCGTTCTCTCCTTTCTTGGTCTGTGTCTTCATGTTCCTACCCAGAAAACATGGAAAAGGTTCAGAACATACCAAATTCAGAAGAGAAAGAAGATTTTCTGAACACATGCAAACAATGCTGAATTAAATTATTTAATTGACATGTACAATATGTGGTAGGTAGATAATCTGGCAAACAGCAGGCTTGATGATTACAAAACAAGGCCACACATATCTTATCATGAAAATCTGGTTGACTATTAGTTCATGAGATAACTAACATAAATTTGTTTGAACATTTCTTGAATGAAGCCATTAAGAGGGGAGAGACAAAGTCGAACTGTAACATCGAAGAAAAACAACATACCTGGATAGCACAAAGTTAGAGATGCTCTATGCACTACTCTTCCAATGGATAGAGAATCATTTGACCCACTAAGAAATATTGTAACGTCTCTTCTCTAAACGTATTTTATGCATTGTTAACAGTACTAGCATAAATAAACCACTCCAAAATTCTGCTCATTCCGAGAGGTTACATTTCTACAAGCTCACATGTCTTGCAGCCACTCTATAATTATGCTTGTGTAATTATCAATTATCAGAGCAAGGCAAGTACAATGCTGAGTGCTAACATGTAACTCATTCAGTGTGTAACATTCAGTTTTATCTAAAAGTAAATGGAACATTCCATTCCAATGCCAAGTGCTGCGTTAGAAACTTTAGTTGAATGCATAAAACTGCAATTATTAGCTATGAATGCGCTCATTCAGAATTTATGTGTACGACAGCTTGAACCTTAGCATACAATTTTGGACTGGCAGTAGTTCAACCAGTTACAGTTAGGATTTTAAGAAAGAGTGCTAGCTTTGGTTAATGTGTGCTTGCCCATTTCGGTAGGAAACTCGACGAGGATTGTCTGTACAAAATGAATACACAGGATCATCTAATAATTATAGTTTGCTTTGAAATTATCTGATTATTAGCACATAACCTGATTCCCATGTACAACCTTCAGTAACTTGAAATAATGCTAATTTAGAATTAGAAGCGTGTGCATTTCCCGTTTCCGATCAATGTACTGAACTGACATGCCATTCTATAAAGTAGAAACTGAATCTACATGACATTAACTTTCGAAGCACATAATCTGATTATTAGCACATGTGTATGCATGACAGGGCTGTATTACGCAGTTGTGAGCCAATCATTTAGGGACAGTGGAAGGAACAGAGCAGATGGAGAAGCTATAACTTAGAACTATCAAGTGGGTAGAGTGGTAGATGAGAGCTTAGTGTAACCGTTGATTTACGTTGATATCTCATATGCTTTTGGTTTATTATTCAAGATGATTTTCTTGCTGACGATGTTCTCAAAATCATAGGTTAAGTTATTAGGTAATATTGAATTTCAGGATTGATACTTCAAAGGTTTGCCACTAGGCTCCTTATGGTTAAAGATAATCTCCATTGCTTCTGTAGTCAGTCTTTAATTTCATTATTCACACTACAAACTTGAGTTTAGCTGTTTTTGTTGGCATTTGACGCTGTCCTAGATAATCAAATTTTAAACTTACGTATTCTTCTATGATGTGATATTGTAGCACTATAACCTTCTATGGATTGTTCTGGTCGCAATACCCAGATCTACATTTGTTTAATTATCTACAGTACATCTTTACTCTGCTGGGAGAGGATAAACGAACAGGAATTAAGGGAGGGATTGAAGGGGAATTTTGTATGGGTGGAGGGTGGAGGATACCATCATGAGGAGCTTGGTGAAGAGGGCGACGGCGGCGGCGGTGAGGATCATGGGCAGGGTGACGGAGTCGAGCCATTTAAGCGACTCCGGCGTCGGCACGAAGAACTCGTCGCGCCCCGGGTCGCGCCGACGCCGCCGAGAGCGCTCCCGCTCCGCCACGCTCAGCCGTAGAAGGTTCCCCGTAGATCCCTCGGCCAGCGCGGCCTGCCTCATGGCCGCCCCTCCCCGGCGCAGCACCGTCCGCAGCATCGCTGTGTCCACGCCGCCGGCGACTTAGACGGGACGACGGGGCCAGGGAAGTGGAGCAGTCTTACGGGAGGTGCGCGTCCTTCGCCGTCCGCGCGCTCCCAGGACCACCTGTCGACGGAGGCTGCGCCGCTCGCCTGATTCCCCACGGCCCCGGCGGCGGTCGTGTTTCGCCGGCGCTTCAGGCCTTGTTTGACAGCAAGGGATTGTGGAGGTTTTGGAAGGAGAGGATTCAGGGGATTTGGTGAATCCCCCTCTTCCATCCAATTCCCTTGAAACCTCAAATCCCCCTCCAGCCACACATTCCTCAAATTTCCCTCCGTACAAAACACTGTTTGACAAAAAGGGATTGCCATATTGAATTAAAATATTGTAAAACAGTTAAAAATCTAATCTTGCAACAGTTCACATGAACAACATAATTTGTTTGACTTGAAATCAATATATCATCACATAATTGCGCTGTCACATAACAACAACATATTCTCTTACATCAGCATGACTTGGAACATAGAGAAAAGTCCTAGGCAAGACATGCGTATATTTAAGCATGCTTAACTATTTATGCAACATAGAGAAAATCATCACTTGATGTTCTGCATGCTTAACTATTGTTGGATGAGAGTACATGACAGGAGCACAAATTCCAACCACAAGACAGCAGTAGCGCAGACACAAAAGCAACCGAGGAGACTCTCAAACAGACGAGTTCAAGGGACCCTGCAAACAGACGATAACCGAGTAGGCTGTAGACTGTTTGCAAAGGGAAAAGTACAATAAAGAAATAGTATGAATTATTTCATGGCCTTGTTAGAGTTACATCAAGAGGCACATAACTACTTCCAGATTAAATCAAATAGTAACAAACACAAAAGCAAGAAGAATCTGATGTGACACGCAAGTAACGTTGAACATTCACTGGGCAGTCCCATGAATATTTCTTCAGACCAACAAGCAGCAAGAGATTACACATTCATAACACAATCCATTGCTCCAAAATCAGCCAACTACATACAGAATACAGAAACTTTCAGACCGAACAGTTTTTTCGTGGAAGAGAAAACTCACAACAAAGTCTGATGAGCAAACAATTTATGATGCACTGTAGAGTTATTGCACTACTGAAGGCAGCACATTTAGTTAGTGCTGATCCAAGCCAAGGAAACGAACAATTTAGTCTAAATATACCCACCGTCCATTGCTCCAACGGATGAGAAGAAACTAATCCCCTTTGGGCTGTGGAAGAAACATGTATCATATCTAAGCTAGCACAGGTGCTCTCAATACAGCAAGAACAACTATACTCTATATTACTTAAAAAACATGTATCATCACTGTTTCTTTATTGCCAAACACTGATTCCACCGCACCGTAGCAGGTATCCTTAAAATCACATTTGTAAAATTTGCCGAGTGATCTCATCTCGGAAACATCATAATGCACACCAGCAAAGCCAGTGAATCTCTCTGTCCCGGTTGACCTGTGCGGCGGGACGATTCACTTTGCTATGTCAGTCGCTAGTGCAAGGACAAATCTAAATCAGAGTATACAGTATATACAAATACAAATCAGAACAAGCACCCAAATCAGAGTATACAGTATATACAAATACAAATGACAAAGAAAGGAAGGCAGTAAATTTGTTCATGAATTAGTAAACAGCGGCTACAAACAAGAAAGATGTCGTTTAGACTTCAGATACCACAACATCAGACCATCACCATCACTAATTAACAGCTCTACACCACACTTCAATCACCATCAACATCAGATCATCACCTATGGTGAAAAAGGTAGTTTACAAACTGTCAATCCTCCAAGATTCATCAGACCATCACCATCACCATCAGAAAATCACAGCAATCTCGCCGGGTAGGGTTAGGGTCGATGAGGGGCTAGAAGAGGACAGCGTTCTTGGCGAGCTCGCCGGGTAGGGTTAGGACAGAGGTGGGGAGAGGCGGCGATGACTTACCACCGGGGAGAACACCAGTATTCTGGAGGAGTAACGCCGGCGTCGGGCGGCGTCGGGGCGTCGGGTAGAATCGGGCGGCGGCGTCGGGTGTTGGAATTATGTGTCCTGCAACTATATTCAAATTACTAGGAATTACTAATATTTGGAATACCTCATTATGGAATTGTACATGTATTTATACATGGAATTGATTTACATGTTTAGCATGGAATTGTTACTTGCTGGAATGTACTTAAGTGATATATGCTTAAGGAAGCTGGTCGATTATCAGTGGAATACAATATACTATTTATATTGGAAAGACTACCCGGGTACACTGATGATTGGAAGGAGCTAGATCATATAGTTAGATTACAGCCCTAACGTTGATCTACGTAATTAGAGGAATTTACACTCTATTATGGCGCGTTGCTCACAAGCGCGTGCTCCGGGGACATAACGGGTAGAATCCGTTAACAGACAAATATGATCGTGGTTGGTAATTTGATCTGGACTCTATCCCGGAAACTAGTGGAAGAAAAACTAGGAATCTTATATCTGTATAAGAGGTGGACTCTTTGGAAAGACAGTATAAGAAGGTCCCTACCCCCTAGCCTCAGAGATGCGAATTGTGAGCGGCACCACGGATAAGCGCAGAGGAATTAGGGGTAGACCGCAAACCCTACAATTCCCAACATTGGCATCTGAGCTAGGTTCACCGCCGCCGATGCTGATCGGCCATGCTCTCATGGTCTCTGTGCGGTGCGTGATTAAATCCGCTGCGTACTCTGCGCCGATCGTCTTCCGCGGTTGTCCGTTTCAATCTCCTCCCCGTCACATCGATCTAACACAGGTCGAGAAAGAATATAATATCCGCTCCTAGTAGCTCGGTGATACGTGTTTATCAAACTCCCGTCGTCGTGCACACGATCGTGCAAGTACTGGCAGCGCCCTGACTACGCACTGAATTTTCTTCACCTGATGCTCTTTATGGTCACGGTCCATCAATCCAATAGCACAGGTCTCGTGGAAGATTGCTTTATTGCTTTCTGAAGTCGCACACTGATCGAGGTCATCTAGTCCTAATGCTTCTGCCTTTGCACTTGGAACGAGGAAATCAAGGGGCAAGCCTAGCTCACGTGGAAGATCAAGAAAGATTGGAAAGGAAAGGACATGCAATTTTTAATTCACATGGATCAAGGAAAGAATTAAGTCAAGCCTAGCTTTGCTACGTACGGGCTGTCTAGGAATCAATCAGGTTGCCGCTGCTACAAAATTTTCACTCGACGATTGGCAATCCGCACGAGCAACTGCTCAGAAAGTGCATTAGTTGAAGGAAGGAGAAGGATTTTGTTGTTGTTGTTTATTGGGCCTACCATCTGGCCAACTGCACGGCCAACCGGACGGCTGGAAGATCCACTTGCACCTGTACAGGCGTGCTACAAGGGAAGGGACGCTAATTACAAATCCAACTAGTATCTATTAATTAATTTATTATATTATATTATATGTTGATTAACAGACTAACTTGTTTGATTCCTAATCTACTGCATGTACGTCATACAAGGAAAATAAGTCCACTCCTTGGAAGAACTTAAGGAGGACTCTGGGTTAAATGTGTGGATGCACTGCACGGAGCAAATGATTACATTGAAAATTTCTATGGTGGAAATATTGTCAGGAAAATTACACATAACCTCGAAAGGGATTTCGGAGAAGTGTCATTATTGAGCATCACTTATTCAAAGAGGAAGCTGGGGGTCACTTCAGGAAACTTGCTCTTCATTTATCGGTATGTCTGATGTTAATGTTTGCACTATATTTTTATTTGTGGCTATTTCTTTTAAAAATAGATGGAGTATGGTGTTTGTTTATATACATCATGTATATTGGAGTACAATAGCAATTTTATTGGCATGCAACAATTCCGAAGGGAAAACTAATGTACTTAGGAATTAATTGTGAATTTGATATACTTTGGATTGGAAATTATGCCATCAAACTCCTTTTGTGGAGGAAAACTATTATTGTTATAGGACAGGCTATTCAACTTCAGTGAGAAGGGATTTAATCTATTGCTCCATCTTGGAACCTATTGATTATGACATACTATTTGGAAAAGGGAGAGTGGAAATATTGCTCAATGGTTAAATTAGTGCATTATGATTTTCACACAATGGTCCATCTTTCTTGATGTCCATTGGAAGTTGGTAGACCAATTTTTTTTTATTGGGCAAAGATTACTCCATATGGAGGAATATCGACAATGGGAACACATGCTTGGAATCTTATCATCTACACCATCAATGACTTGGTCACAAATCTTGGAACTGGATCAAGAGGCTTATTGATTCTGGAATTTTAAACTTTAGTGGAAGGACTAATGATACATGTGAAGCATATATGTGTTTTTTTAATACACCTTGTTTATTAAGGTGGAAGGAGATGAAAGGGCTTCACATCGTTTCCTTTTTATATACTTACGGTATTTCTTTGGACATCCCCACTAGAGGTCACATTGTTTATTTCATCTCACTCTTCCATGATTACACTTTTACATGGTTATGCTTATATTTTATTATACAAGTCGGAAGGTTTTATTGTGCTGGTCACATGTTATACTGAAGTGGAAAATCAGTTGATTAAATAATATCATAGTTTTAACAACCGATTGGTGGGGGAAGTACACTTTAGGAATATATCGTTTGTATGTAAAGAGCATGGAATTATTCACCATTGTTATATACCGTACACTCCACAATTGAATGGAGGAATTGACTGTCTTGTATACGAAAGAAGCATTGTGTACTGTCATTTGTTGTATCTTTCTCCATCTAGTACAGTCACTTGGCTGGAAGGAAATATTCTATTTTGGCATGAAATTCACAGTTATTACAAAGCGCACACCAGGAATTTTTTCATGGTTCTTCTAGTGGATCAAAGGGTGTTCCCTTAGTTATCTGGAAAATGAATACTGGTGGAAAGTAGGAACACAATCATTTTTATCATCAAGGGTGGAATTATTGACAATCATACTGGAATATAATCTTGA